GAAATAAAAAAAATTTACCATTAGATTTGGAAGAAGAAAGTAAAACCAAAAATAAAAAAATTCACCATTAGATTTGGGCAGATAGAAAAAGAGAGGGGTGGGAACGTAAAAAAGAAGTTGAAGGAATTTTTATTTTAATACCAAGAATCTTAACTTTAGGAGGGAAGGACAATTATAGTATAAAAAATTATAAGAATAAAATATTGTATAGTTAAGGACTCTTTTGTAATTTTATTTAAAAATAGAAATATGGTGCAATGCCTTAAACTAATTGTGTGGAGTGCTGATTTTAGTTCTAAAAAAAATAAATAGAAAAATGTTGTATGCTATAGTTTTTAATTATTTATTTATTTTTCATTTCGAAATTTCCTAGAAGTGTTAGAGCACTGGAAGTTGTATAGTAGACGCGGTCCCCTTCTTTTTTTTGACAATAATTTAAAGAATAAAAATAAAAATGACATGACTTCGGAATTCAAAAGGTTGAGTTTGGCTCATTTTTATTTTTTCCTAACTTTCCCGGAAATTTCCTCATAGAAAAAATAATAATAATAAAATAAAGATTCCTTCTGCGTTGTTTCTAGGTGGGGCTGCAACTCGGACCAGTTGGACGGGTTTGAGGTATAACTTGAGTTCAACCCACTATATGAAATGATAAACCCAAGCTCAACCCTAACCCTAACCTCAATCTTAACTACTGAACCCAAGCGCAACCCATCAATTTACTTTTAAATTCGGGCTTAGATTTCGGGTAAAAATTTTAGGTTAATTCGGGTTACTCATATGGCTAATCCTTTTACCGAAAATTTAATATGATCTTAAATTAGTTTTAAATTAAATTACTCTTAAATAAGAAAAAGTTTAAAGCATTTTTTGTAGATTTTTAATAAATTACAAACAAATTTTTAGAAAATTAATTCTCCTAAATGTTAACATATATTAAGTTTTGATTTAACAAAAGAAGTTGAAAAGAAGAAAAGTAATCATAGTTTAAATATTATATATAATGTATTTAAAAGCAAATAGATATATGAAAATAATATTAGAATTTGGGTTTGGGTTAGCTTGGGTTGCTAATCCTTCAACCCAAGCCCAACCCTAATTAAATTCAGGTTGAGATTTTTCAATCCAAACCCAGCCCTAATTGTAAAAATGATTGCACAAGCCTATGAAAAATTGGGCTGGGCTCGGGTTGGGTACGAGTTACCCAACCCAAGTTGCACCCCTATTTTTAGGGTTGCAAATGAACCGAACTGAGCTTTGGGTTGCTCAGGCTCGGCTCGTCATCTCCAGAGGGGTGCTCGGGCTCGGCTTGTTAAAGTTTTTGCAAGCTCGGGCTCGGTACCATGAACACCGATCTCAATATCTGACCAGAAAATTAACAAAGAAATTCAAGACACACATTCAAGATGAATTCAAACCTTACAAGCTTTTATGGACTCAATAATAAACAAAAATTCAAGATGAAATACCTGGTTTTGTGGACTCGATCTATAGATATTTTGAGATCCATTATAGAGAGAAAGTTGTGGCATTGAGGGCTACTGACAGATTCATACGGTAGAGTTGATCCACAAGAAAGAGAGAGAGAGTTGTGTCGTAGAGGGTTGCCGGCAAAATCATATGCTGGAGTTGCCGAAGAGGATAACCTAGACTTTTAGTTTTAGGTTAATTTTGTATCTTTTCACATGAGTAAAGCAATGGCTCGGATGAAATAAAATTAATGGTTGAAGATTTAAGATGAATCCTTATTTGGATAAACTCTTTGGGCCTTTTTGGACCTTATTAATAAAATGATAAGTGTTAGGCCAAACTTATACTTATATAGACTAAAATTTTTGTTGTAAAATAGTAAATATATGAGTCTTTGTCTTAACGAGTTTGTTCACGAGTTTGATGTTGTTCAAACTCGGCTCGTTTAATAAATGAGTTTGAAAATCAAACTCGAGCTCGACTCGTTTATTAAATGAATGAAGCCTAAGTTGAACTTAGCCTGAACAGAGTCGAACTCAACCCCAACTGTTCATGAACAATCCCAGTTGTTTCTGCTCATCAGCAAATGAGGTCATTGATCCCATTAAGGCTTTGTTTGGATTGAGGGATTTATAGTGATTTGGAGATAAAAGAAAGGGAAGGATAGTATATAATTGTTTGGATGAAAGGAATTGGATAGAAAAGAAATGATAGGGAAGGATTTTGAGGGATAATTATCCCCCAAAATTTGACAAGATTTGAAGGGAAAGGAAACCAAGTTAAGTAAATTTTTTATCAAAACAAAACTAGCCTTCAAAATTCTGTACACAATATTTTTATTACATTGAAGTCCTAATAACATAACACAATAACACAATAAATTTTTTCATTAATTTTTATTTCATGGATTGGACCTATATAAGTGTGGTATAGCTGTTCCGAAAGGCTTTCCCCTAGACATATTGTACGCTGGGGGTTGGCGCAAATCTTTTGCTGTGTGATTTTCATGATGTCTCCTATAGTGAGCGATAAATGGTATAAGTTTGGCCACGTTTTACTCCACTTAATATACACTAAGACTGTGTTTGGCAATTACACCACTATTTTTAAGTAACATTTCACCACCATTTATAAGTATCTTCACAGGAATCTAAAAAGTAATATCACATGAGTTTAAAAAGTAACATCACCATTTTTAAGAGGGTAACATCACCACCTAAAAAGTAACGATTGTTGACAGTCAAATACCTCATAATCCCCTTCAAAATTCTCTTTAAATTAACATGTGACTATTTTTTTGGATGTTCTATTTTTTATGATAAAATTTAACTTAAAAAATATATAAATAATATGTTGAATTGAGTTAGATTTATGTTTCACTATTAGTTTTTCAGCACTATGTGAATACCTTTTTTTGATGGTGAAGGTGGTGAGCGTGACAATTAATATTAAACTTAGCCAATTTTTATTCTTTTGATGGTGAAGGTGGTGAGTATAACAATTAATATTAAACTTTGCCAAAAAAATTTCAAAGATATGTTAAATAATTTATATCTAAAGTGCCTGCTTTTTAAATATTTGGAAGAAGAAAAAAAAATTGTGGCTCTTTTCATTATTTTTGAAAATAACAAGTGTTTTGTTTATTGTCTAAAGTTAATTTAAGTGATTTTAATTTTGGTTTAAATTCTTTAAATTAACATGTTAAAGTGTTTTTAAAATACTTTAATTTCAAATTATAACATAAATGATATGTTGAATTGAGTTACGTTTGTATGTGACATTACTTAGTTTGCATTATGTACATACATTATTTTGAGGGTGAAGATACTTATAAATGGTGGTGAATTGAGTTACGTTTGTATGTGACATTACTTAGTCTGTATTATATACAGGCCTTATTTTGAGGGTAAATGTACTTATAAATGGTGGTAAAATGTTATTTAAAAATGGTGATGTAATTGCCAAACACAGACTTAGTGTATATTAAGTGAAGTAAAATGTGGCCAAACCAAGACCACTTATCGCTCACTCACTATAGGAGACGGCATGAAAATCGCACAGAGGATTTACACCCGTTCGGGGTAGTCTTCCCCACCTTTAAAGAAGGTTATATGCCGAAATACTCAAAGGAGATTTATGCAACAGCAGCAGGTGCTGCAGGACCTTCTCGACGGCTGATTGCTCCTCTGGGCACTAAAGCTATCAGCATGAATATGATCTTCTCTCTCACACACACACACACCTTAGAAAGTCTACCACAGCCTTATGCTCCAAATTTGATAATCACCATAACCCCCCCTGCGCGCACGCGCTTATATATATATATATATCCTAGAAAGGTAAACTTTTAAAACAAGTTATTTATTTAGATTATGAGGAATGCTAATTAGCGACTGCCCATTCACAGTCGCGAGTTAGGATTGGTTAGTTTTGAATGCATTAATTAATTTGAGTTTCTATTTTTATGGACTCTACTAACATTACTTTTTAGACAAAAATCCCCTTTTAAATTATGTCTTTCTTTTTATCTCTTCTTTTAATCGATTTATATAGGGATGTGTGCATATGTGTGTGTGTATATATAATAATAATAATAATAATAACTAATGTGATATGAATGGATGTTGAAAAAGGAGAAAAAAAAAAAAATGGTTAGATAGGATAATCCATTCACAACAAATAGATTTTAAGGAAAAGAGAGAGAGAGAGAAAAATCTGAAAAAGAACAAGATAGATTCTGAGATTTAATATATATATATATATATATATATATATATATATATATACACACAAAATTAGTTTTATACACGTATATATTTCTTTTTTGGTGAAGGAATTATTTATTTTTCTTTTATTTCTTTTTTTTTAAATCCATTTATACAAGGATAGTTGTAAAAATAAAAAAATAAAACAAAAAAAAACATATATATATATATATATAGGAAAAGCAAAAAGGAAGAAATATATAATCTATTTTTTTTTTTACCTTTCTTTTTATTCTTTTTGGATTTTTTTCTTGCTCTTTTTTTTTTTTTTTCCGAATCCATCCATCTCTTGTGAACATACTCGATTAAAAGAGAAGATAATTTAAAAGGGTATTTTTGTCTAAAAAATAATGTTAGTAGTGTCCCATAAAAATAAAATTTCAAACTAATTAATACATTCAAAACTAACCTATCATAACTGGCGACTGCGAATAGGCAGTCGCTTGCACGACTGCCATTAGCATTCCTCTTAGATTACATACAAAAAGATAAAATATCATTTTTCTTTTTAATTCTTCTATTATAGTGAAACAAGAATATTATTTATTTTTTTCTTTTCTCTATCTAAACATAAATATAAATTGTAACTATTATTCCTTTTATTTTATTTTTTTTTGTGACAAATGTTATCATTTTCTTTCTTTTTTTCGTATCCAAACAAAGCTTAAAATGTTGCAAATAAAATGGGAAAAATAAATGGGGGTAAACGAAGCTTAAAATGTTGTAAATAAAATGGGAAAAATAAATGAGGGTAAATCAGCTCTAACTCACAAGCCGTTGTCTTTTCATTGGGCATTTGATCTGAGCATTGAAAATGGCTGCTTCCTGGCGTCGAGGAGATTCAGCGATGTCTTCTTGTCCTTCAGCGGCATGGATACTCGCAATAATTTTACCGGTCACCTCTTGGCCGCTTTGGAGCGCGTTAGTTTTTATACCTTCAGAGATGACACCAAACTCAGAAGGGGAGAAGAAATCGGTACCGGATTACTGAAGGCTATCGAGGTATCAAGGATCTCCATTGTTGTGTTCTCGCGTCCTCAAGATGGTGCCTTGACGAGCTTGTGAGATCATGGACTGCAGGAGCACACTGAATCAGATTGTTATTCCCGTCTTTTATGACGTTAAACCCTCAGACGTTCGGTCACAGAAGGGTTATTATGCAGAAGCATTTGCCAGCCACGAAGAGCGCTTCGAATTGCGAGAGATGGAGGGCGGCTCTACATGAGGCTGCTGATGTGTCCGGTTTTGTCCTGGAGGATGATGAGGCCGATCGACGGGTAATCTTTTTTCTCTTCAAATCAATCTAAACACGCGCATAAATTCTTCAAATTTGTGCAGTTTGAGTTTCATTTTATATATGCATATATTATCCTTCACCGATGTCTCTGTTAAAATTGCTTAGTTTCGTTTTCTTAAATAAAGAATTCTTTTCTCAGTTTAGTTGAAAAATAAATAATTGGCAGGTATGAACCGCAGTTCATTGACTATGTTGTGGAGTTTGCAAATAAATTAAATCCTACGTGTTTTAAGTGTTGCGGACTACCCAGTTGGAACAGAGCATCATGTTGAACAACTGAGTTTGTTTTTAAACTTGGGGTCAATTGATAGATGTTAAGATTGTTGCCATATGCGGGATTGGTGGATTAGGTAAGACAACAATTGCTAAAGCGATGTATAACCTCAAATACCATCGGTTTGAAACCCCGTGCGAACTTCGTTGCAACCCAACGGCCTTGTTGAATTACAAGAAAAGCTTTTTGCGATCTCCTAATGGATGGAAATCAGAGAATAAGAAGCAAGGATCATGGAATTGAGGTGATAAAACAGTAAGCATGGTGTCCAAGGGTTCTTCGTGTTCTAGATGACGTTGATAACATCTGCCAACTGAGGGCGTTAGTCATAAACCGTGATTTGTTTCGTTTGGGAAGTAGGATCATAGTAACAACTAGGGATCTGTCTTCACTAAGTTTTCTTCAATTGGATAAGGTGTATGAACCTTAAGGGTTGAATGAGAATGAATCTCTTGAGCTCTTCAGTTGGCACGCCTTCAGGGAAGTCCATCCTACGAAAAACTATGAGGATCTTTCAAAGAAAGTGGTGGATTATGCTCAAAAGCTTCCTTTAGTTCTTGAGATTTTAGGTTCCTTTTTTTCAGAGAAACCCATAGAGGAATGGATAAGTCAACTGGAGAAGTTGAAAAAGATTCCTAATGATAATGTTCAAGGAAAACTTAGGTTGAGCTTCGATTCACTGGATGATGAACAAAGGGGTTTATTCCTACATATTGCATGTTTTTTTGTTGGAATGGACCTAGATTTGGCAATCAAAATACTAAAAAGGCTACTGTTTCTTCCCAGAATCTGGAATTGGGGTTCTATCTCGTAGCATTGATGCGCATAACCGGATAATGATGCATGATCGGATTCAAGATATGGCTAGAGAGATTGTTCGCCAAGAGTCCCCTCAAGAGCCTGGCGAACATAGCAGATTGTGGTATCATGAAGACGTTCTCGATGTATTAAAAAATAACACAGTAAGAACCTAATGCATGAATTAGTTACATATCTTGTCAATGTGGGGGGTCTTGTTTCACTGTAAAAATGTCATAACACACCACACATCACGAAATCTGGGATGTGAACCTATTTTCAACACAATAGTATGTATATATGTATTCTTATATCTGTAACTTTTTATTATCATCAGGGAACAAAAGCAATTCAAGGCTTAGTTATAAACTTGCCAAAATCAGAGAAGCTACAAGTGAATGCCTTTGCATTTACAAAGATGAAAAGGCTGAACTTGCTCCATCTCAATTATGTCCTCCTAAGTGGAAGCTACGAACATCTCTCCGGAAGATTAGCATGGCTATCTTGGAAACGATTTCCTTTAAAATGTATACCAGCAACCTTAATCATGGATAAAATGGTTGCCATTGACTTGAGCTATAGTAGGCTCAGACAACTCTGGATAGGAACTAAGGTACAATACTACTGTTTTCATCTTCTTCGTACTTAATTATAATCACATGCTTGGAAATTTAATGTCTCTTCCTGTTCATGACAGGTGTTGACCAAATTGAAATATCTCAATCTTGGTCATTCCTATTTCTTGATTCAAACGCCAGACTTTGCAGGGCTTCCCAGTCTTGAGATATTGTTGCTGAATGATTGTACAGAGCTGGTAAAGGTTCATCAATCTATTGGATCTCTGAAAAATCTAGCTGTCTTGGATCTAAAGATCAATTGCCATAATCTTCAGAAACTTCCCTTGAGCATTTTCATGTTGAATTCTCTCCTTTATTTCAATCTATCTCACTCCTCAAAATTAGAATGGCCAGCAATTTTTCAAGGATTGCCACCTGATCAATCAAGGTGGTCATCTATGTAAACCATTGTAGTCAGCTTGAATCAATTCCTGCGCTTCCCGTAAGTTTATTGCGATTGTGTGAAAACTACCGCACATCATTGGAAAGCATATCAATTGAATCAAATGGAGCGGGAGAACCGTTCATGACTTTTTATGGTTGTACCAAATTAATCAACAACAATTTTTTATATAATTTTAGAAGAAATCTCCTCCAGAATCAGGTACGCTAATATGTCTGTATATATATTATAAATGGAGACGTACATGAGCACTATAGAATACCGAAAAAGACCATATGTAAGTAGTACTAGAGTGTAGACAATATTATGTTTGGGTAGGGTGAGGGTCATTACAAATGGTATGACCCAGCAGGAAGTATGGCCAACGGGGACGTTGGCCCCAAAGGGGGTGATTGTGGCGACCTTGTGGGCGGGTGTGTGTGAGCGTGTGCAGGTGGCACCAATAGGCTACCACACTGGGCGAGCTACAGGTGCACAATCCCACATCGCCTGGGTGTGGATAGGGCAAGTGCTACATGTAGATTCAATACCATTTTATGACATAACGCGTTTTAAAGCCGTGATGGCCGTGAACCTACCAGAACGCCAGAGTTAAATGTGCTTAACCTGGAGTAGCACGAGGATGAGTGACCCCTGGGAAGTCTCTGGTCCGGGAGAGCCAAAAGCGGACAATATTGTATCTGGGTAGGGTGAGGGTCGTTATAGCCATGGCATATGACACATCACTATCTGGGTAGGGTGAGGGTCGTTACAGCCATGGCATATGACACATCACTGAAGTCTCACAATTAGGGGATGTGGTTCGAGTGCCATACACAATGGTTTTCTCACCTGTTTGACCTCTCTCTCTATATATGTATTTATATACTTATCTATATATGTATGTACTTCTCTTATCATCGGGGAACAAGACTAGCTGAAGGCCTAGTCCTGAACTTGCCATGACCCAATGAGCTAGAACTGCCTGCGAAGGCGTTTGCAGGCACAAACTGAGACGGCTTCATCTTAGTTATGTCCAGCTAACTGGAAGCTATGAGTGTCTCTCTAGAAGACTAGTACGGCTTTGTTGGAAAGGTTTCCCATTGAAATATATACCATCTAACTTGTATATGGATAACATGATTGCTGTTGACTTTACTACTTTAGCTATGGCAGTCTAAAAGAAGTTTGGAGAGAATTGGGCTATCACTGGCTTCTATGCAGGGATCAAATTGCATTTTGAAATTTTATCAGGAAAACTGCAATATATTATTGTATGTGCCCGGTGAAATTGGTTGTTTAATCTCCTTGCAGTTTTTGAATCTCAGCAGAAACAATTTTTCTACCCTACCAGCTAGCATCACTAGTCTTCCTAAACTGAAGCGCCTCTATTTAAACCAATGTACTTGGCTTCAATTGCGTTCGGGGCTTCCAATAAAGTTAAAGGGATTGAGTGCAAACTACTGCACCTCATTGGAAAGAATATCAATTGAATCTAAAGTGGATGAAGCACTATTAATGACTTTTTACGGTTGCCCCAAATTAGTTGACAACAATTTTGCAACTGATTTTAGAAAAATTATCCTCCAATACCAGGTACCTCTTTTGTCTCTCTCTCTTTCCCCCCCCCCCCCTATATATATATATATATATATATATGTATGTATGTATGTTTTATATACATGTGCGTGTGTTGGAATTACTTCTTGGCCTGCAACTGGTCATCACTGTATATCCAAGCAACCGTGTAGTGAGTAGCTACATTTTTTTATTTTTTTTTTGGTATATGACATCTCTATACATGTCCATTCCTAAACATTTATATGCCTTCCATGTGAGCACTGGTCTTAAAAAACTTATATTGCCTGACTAAAAGCATTATAAATAGGGAGAGTTAATCAGCTTTAAAGGCAAGGTTAAGAAATCCTAACCACCCTATATTACAGAGCTCGAACTTACAGAAGTATCCTCATACACCGCCTTCCCTCTCTTACTCACTGACTCTAGAGAATCCCTCGTGTTGCTTGGGTCTCCACTTGGGCACTGATCTCAGCACTCTTGGCTTACGTGGAACATTATCCTTATTCAATAAAGAACCACTATCAACATTTTGGCGACTCCGCTGGGGAGGAGTGTTTCGCAATGTCAAGTGTACAAGAGTTTAGCCTAACTCCTCAAGAAGGAATCTCTCTTGGAGAGGAGTAGGATGGGACCGCGAGCAGTGTCTCAGGAGCACGCTACCCAGGAAGGACGATATTTTTTCCGGACGCTTTAGTCGAAGCCCACACAATTCACTCCCATATCGGATGGAAAAACTAGAGGACACTCAGAGTGAAGTAATAGCTCTACTTCGAGACATAGCCAACAGCGGGATACCTCGGCGTCGGCAAGAGCAACCCACCAGGTTAGGTCCTGAACTCGACGAGGACCAGGTAACACTGGATCACCCAACGTACTGAGCACCTCCCCTGCCTACAGGAGGGAGGCGATCTGTCAGTTCTCAAAGACGACCGAGGACGTGCCCGCCGGGTTTCGGCGAACTCTTTTCACCACACCCCCTACCGCACCAGCTAGGTTGGATGCGCCCGAACCAAGTTACAGAGGAATCCAGCACCAAGAAAGGGCTTCTGACGGACTCCAACATCCGCGCGAGCCTGCTCAGCACTCACCTTATGTAACCTTGGCAGACTTACAGTCTTTGTTACGAAATGAGAAATGCATGCTCTCTCAAGAGGCGGCGCCTAAGCCACCCTATTCTCAAGCCGTTGCACTCCTTCCATACCCCAAGGGGTATGTCGCCCCAAAGTTCAGTAAATTCGACGGGAGGAAAGGCAACTCGCGAGAGCACGTTGTCACGCCCCGCCTATGGAGGTTGTGCCGCGCAGGGGACACGCAGACGCTGAGGGGGACGCTGCATGACAACTGCATGGCGAGTGAAGTTTCTAGAGTCTTCCGGAGTTGTCTAGTGTTGTGTGGAAGATTCTAGATATGTGTAGTATATTCTAAAGTTCTCCAGAATTGTGTGAAGTAGTATGGAGAGTTCTAGAATGTTGTAGATACTAGTAGATAAGTATGGAAGTATGAAGAAGGTGGGAGAAGATTCTAGAGAATCGATCTCCACCGTTGGTTAGAATGCATCCTAGCCATCCATTAGGGATGGGGATGCCTATAAATAAGAGTAGGACTTCATTTTGTAGCCAACAAGTCCTAGAGTGAGTCTTGAGAGCCTTGTAGGGAGTTTGAGTGCTAGCCTTGTACAAAACATTCTTTGAAGTAATAGAAGTGTTCTTCCTTACCAACTTAAGTGCCTTAGTGTGTGTGAGTGTGCAAGCCAAGTGAAGAGAGGGCGAGGGCCACTACAACACTAGTAAGCGCACGAGGGGAGTGTGTTGGCTAAGGTGTGCGCGGGAGTTAGGCTGACCAAGTACTTGCGAGAGTAGAAGTAACGTCTTGGTGCCGCACGGGAACAGCTAGAGTGGTACTGAAACTCTAAGCCCGTGACAACATGGTCCGCTTTATAGAGGCACTTGGACCCTTCGGCAACGATCATTTCCTCCGGTTAAGGGAATTCTCCAAGCCCTCACGGATAGGGCCTACAAATGGTATGTGAATCTAGAGCCGAGGTCCCGCAACACGTGGAATCAGCTGGCCATGTTATTCCACACTAAGTTCTTCCAAGCTGAGGAAAGGGTGACCACATTGTCATTGACGAATGAAGTTCAAGGCCACGGCGAAGACCTGTTGACGTATGTGCACAGATTTCATGACCGAGCGATGGAATGCTACGAGACTCATGAAGAAGATGCGCTGGCTAAAATATGCATACAAGGCATACAAGGAATCTACTGCATTCATTTTATCAATCTAAAGCTCTTAACCTTTGCAGACTTAATTGAGGCAGCCCGCAACCTAGTGGGAAACCTCGCCGTCAAATGCCCAGATCGTTGTGCAAGAGGATCATCGAGGTAAGCGGCGTCACTTGGTCTCAGCAGCTGATACACCAAACAAAAAGAATACGGGCCCATCTCGCATGCCCTAAGGAAGAAACCCAGATATCATTTCCATGCGTAATGGAAGCAGTAGAGGCCATTCTTTTAAAGTGGATTCAGCATGGGGACATCAGATTGCCCGAGACAGCACAGGAGCTGACTCCAGAAGATTTAGCTAACCCTCGATACTGCATGTATCATCGGCATACTCGCCACCCTACCTTTGACTGCTGGGCTCTGCGGAACACTTTCCAACAAACGAATCGCTAGTGGCGAGCTTATCCTTCCCCCTAGGGATGTGAGGGAAGAACCTTTCCCTGCACATGACAGGGGAGCGACAATGATGGCGGAGGGCGGTGCAGACGACGAAGAGGAGGGCGAAGCTGTTTTGTCCCAAGTGGCACTGGTTGAGGAAGGCGACTTGGGAGCATTTCGCTTACTGGAAGCAACGCCGGTCAAAAGTATCTTTGAAAGAATAGAAGGGGCACCCGGAACAACCATAGTCTTTACTGAAGAGGACAAATGTGTTCCTACCCCTCACAACCGTCCATTATATGTTACGGCCTCCTTTAACGGGGTGGAGCTCAAGCGAGCATTCTTAGATAATGGCTCATCCCTTAATATAATGCCTCTGGAAATCTTTAGACGAAGTGGACTACCGCCCAAGAAGCTTATCCGAAAACCGACGGAGATAGCAGGTTTTGGTAGTGACATTCGAAGGATAGAAGGGCACGTTACCGTCGAACTGACCATCGGCAAGTTCAAAAGCTCAACCAAGTTCCATGTTATTGACTTTGACACCTCCTACCATTTACTCATGGGCAGC